AAACCTAACCCTAAACCTAACCCTAAACCTAACCCTAAACCTAATCCTAAACCTACCCTAAACCTTACCTTAACTTAAATCGTGCTTCTGTCGGCGCACTGTTGTCGGCGCGCTGTTGTCGGCGCGCTGTTGTCGGCACGCTTTTGACATCACAGTTTTAGCGCCACGGTTTTGTCGGCGCGCTTTTGACGTTCACGCTTTTGTCGGGTCACAAAATCTCAAACCTTCTAGCTTACACTAAGAATCACAACTGCAGCTGTACCTTTACTATAACTCTACTGGGCCTAATGCTAATAATTTTTAAATGCCCTCCTAGTTACACTCATGGCCTCAAGCTACCTCTTATTTCAAACCCTGTTAATGCTCATGTTTTTTTTTTACAATGTTTTATTATTTTAATTTACATATATTAATTTATACTTTTCAAATAATATCATTATTAAGGCAATATATGCATGCATACGTATGCACTGACTGAGCATACATACTATAGCGCAACAGGAACGAGGACAAAGAACTGATAATTTAGGCCAAAGCAAATCGAAGCAAATCAGTCAGTCAAAAGATACCTCCTGTAAGTCTACTAAGCTGTGATGTGTTCATTGCAGTCAACTGCGGATTCAAACTGACTGCGCTTACAATAATGGATTTCATATTGCTTGCAGAAAACATGCAGAAACAACACACAGCTTTCAACAGCTTGTTCCTTTTTTGCTCTAAACAATAAAGTGGCATTGGATCAGTGGCGGGTTATGGATCCCGGTGCAACCGGTATGGTGCCGGGCATCCACCACATGCATGTGCATGCGTACTTACCATCTGTGATGCTCCGCGACGGCTCTGTGATGCTCCAGCTGCTCGATGGAGCGTTGCGCAGGTGCCGTACGCATAAGCCCCAATCGGCTCAAATACAGGTAAGGGTGGTGGGTGGGCCCTCCGGAGCACCATACTAGAACAGTACATGGTGCTCCCAGCAGGCACCAGTATGCCCGTACCGGGGCGTACCGGTCATATTCCACCAGTGCATTGGATCCAATTTAACTCCAATAGTCTTGCCAAGGATGTTACCTCATATATAGCTCAGTTCATAGCAACATGTACAGTCAGAGCAAGGAAGTCCAGAAAAGGAGCAATGGAAAATGCAGTTAGTCCTTGGCTTAGAACCACAAATGGAACCAGAAATCCTATCCCTAAGACATGCAGTCATAAAGCAAGATATCACATGACAATATCACTTTGTTATTGTTGTTGTTGTTGTTGTTAGTTGTGAAGTCATGTCCAACCCATCGCAAACCCATGGACAATGATCCTCCAGGCCTTTCTGACCTCTAACATCCCCTGGAGTCTATTTAAGCTCGGGCCTACTGCTTCAGTGACTCCATCCAGCCATCTCATTCTCTGCCGTCCCCTTTTTTTGCCCTCAATCTTTCCCAGCATTAGGCTTTTCTCCAGTGAGAAGAGCCTAATGCTCCTTCTTTCTCATTAGGTGGCCAAAGTATTGGAGTTTCAACTTCAGAATCTGGCCTTCTAAAGAGCAGTCAGGGTTGATCTCTTTTATGACTGATTGGTTTGATCGCCTTGCAGTCCAAGGGACTCACAGGAGTCTTCTCCAGCACCATAGTTCAAAGTTCCTCGCTCCTAAAAAATTCCACAGTCAACTGTCAACTGTATTATAAGAACGTGGAAGTGTTTGGGAACGACGGTAACTCAGCCACNTTTGTCTGAGTTGCTGCCAAGATTTGTCTGAGTTGCTGCCAAGGTCCTTATCTGTTTGTTTGCTTGGCTTTCAGCCACTGAGATTTTGGTCTTGCTATTAAAGTACATTCCAGTTAAGCTTGTCTCGGCATACGTTACCGGACGGAGGAGGGGGTCAGAACACCTATGTATACTTGATGGACAATCTGGTTTTATATATAATTGAAAGCGGTGATGCACAAATGTTTGTAACCAAACAACATGCTATATGCATATGTAATTGATGATGGTTTTATGTTTCATGTGTTGTACATCTTTGTCTAAAAATAAAAAAAACTTTTTAAAAAAAAGATGATCTACTGGCAAAACAGAATTTGAAGTTAATGAAACCACTGGGGCATCTACCAGGAGAATTTTTAGAATGTCTTCCAGACTATTTTCCCCTAAATACAGGTTCTTGTTACCCCCACTGGGGCTGACCATGGAGCCTGGCTGCGCCCATTGGCGCTGGACCACATTCATGAATAACTCTAGGAACAGAACTAGATCCTGAGCCGTGGCATTTTCCTTGAAGAGGCACTCCCTGGGGTCCTGGGATGTATATGCTGCTGATGTCCCCTGGGGGGGGGGGGGAACCCAGCAGGGTGCAGGCCCTATCCTTATGTAGAATGGATTTGAAGGAGGGTTTAAATAACCCTGCAAATGCAGGTTTGTCAGGAGGCAGATCCTCATCCTCAGACAACTCCATATCTCCCAAGGTGTCCTCATCAAGAATGGACCCCTCTGTTGCTATAGAAGTTCCTGGGGACTGAGGAGCCCGGGAATGATCCCTGCTCTGTGGGGAAGGGCGAGAACAGGACTGGGGTATAAGTCCCAATTGAGCTTCCTTATGGCGCATTCCCTCTGCAATGCCCTGGGCAATGGCCTGGGCAATCATACTCTGATCTTCTACGGGCCCTGCTCTAATTGAGGCTAGCTGGCCTCTGCCCCTGGATGGTCCAGGTTCCTCCAGTTCAGAAATGGCACAATCAAAGGGTTGTCTTTCACCCCTATCAGATGAACCTGGGGAATCCGGGTAGCCAAAAGAGGCATTTGGAGAGGAGTCTTGAGATCCTTCATCCACCAGAGAAGGAGATGGGTCTCTCAGGGTTGGCAAGTATTCCCTTTCCTCTATTATCTTGTGGGAGGTGCAGGCCTGCCCCTCAGGGGATTTGGGCTGTCTGTGGGCCCTCTTTTCTGGTTCCTTTTGCCCCCTAACAGCCTCCCTATCAGAGGCTTTGGACTCCCTCGAGCATTGTGTATGCTTCTCCTTGGAGGCCCTCTTGCCCTGTCCCCGTTCAAGTAGGATTTGGATCCTGCTCCTCTTAGTGGAAGACAACTCCTCCTCCACCACCACCAAACCTCCTTCAGACATCGCAGTTGAAGCTAAGGGTCTGCTGGAACACCCTGCTGAATTGCTCATGGGGCAGTGGCAGGCAGACACGGAGAAGCCGGGGGATCAGCACCAGGTCTTGAGATCCGGTGCACTGCGCAGATTCACTCCTTGAGCTGGAGTATGGCCTGAGTGGCCAACACATCCAAGGCCTCCCTCCTGGTTAATGTAGAGGGAGGCAGGCCTTGCCGGCACTCTGGATAAAGGCCAAATTGTCCCTGTCGGTGATCTGCAGCTGAGAAGGGCAAGGTGACAGCTTCAAACTTCTCACAATGAAGCGTGCGATTTTCTGCTTCCAAAATGGTCCCCATGAGGCTGAAAGGCTCCAAAATGGCAGCCGCCTTCTTCGGGGACAATGCAAGGCCCTCCGGATGAAAGCGTGTAATTGCTGCTTTCAAAATGGCTGCTGTGAAGCTCCTAGCCTTCAAACGGCCAGCCACGTTATTGTTGGGGCGATTTGGGAGCTGTCAGGTGCGACCAAAGCCTTCAAAGGGAAGCCCAGTGCCAAAACAGAACTGCGACGGCTGGGAAATGTCATGGAAGCCTGTGGCCATTCCTGTACTCCCCGGAAGCTGCCGGACAAGCACACCGTTTGATCCTGGCCACCACATGCAACCAGCAGCAATCCAAGCCACAGCAGCCCTTTCAGCAAGGAAAAGAATAGTGATTTTCAAATGAAAGGAATCCTAAAGCCAACTAACTAAGGCAAGTATCTACAAAAAGAAGAAATCCTAATAACTAGTTGGAGAGATCCAGTCAATCTGCACAAGGACTGAGGAGCTCCCCCAAAAATGTCCAAACAGACTGACTGAGTTTTTTTAAACAGGTCCCCAATGAGGAACAGGAGGTGTGGTAAGGAAAACTCAACTCAGTCCTTGGGCAGATAAACTGAATTTAACCCATTCTTGGACTCTCCAAGCAGCGCACAGGAGAATATAAGGTTGTAGGCTAGACCAAGAAGAAAGCAATAGCTAACCATTTCCACAATATTGCATAGGATATACATGGATATGTTCATGAAATTACCAGGAGTTGACCTTGACTTGGAAGACACTTTATGTAATTTTTTTTCACATAGTTACATATGATTTGTTTGTTTGAAGTACAAGGAAGAAAATGTATTTATTTATTTGCATTGTAAACAGCAGAAAGACAGATAGGCTGACAGAGCTGTGACAGTGGAGAAAAAAATTCCCCACTCTCAAAGCCCCTTTTGCACAGTGAAAATGTTTACTAGGTATATAACAACTGAAATCCAACTAATGCAATTAATTGTTCACTCACTTTGCATGATAAAAAGAACTACAATTTTTAAAATTTCCCCTCCATCCTGTTGAAACACAGATGAAACTCAGATTACGGAATTTTGATTCATTAGATCTGAAGGAATTAACCATGAAAAATAAAATAAAAAATAATGTAGGAATTGTCAAGGAAAAAATTAATGAGAACTAAATGTCAGCACTGGTTGTGTAGAAATTTGTCAGTAAGTTCTCATCAACTTCATTTGGACTAAAGAATGTTTTGGATTTTATATTTAAAATGTAATTCTTTAGCATCATTTTTTTTCCAAACAGTATTTCCATGTTATTCATTAATCATAAATGCATTTACTTCTAATTGAACAATATTGAACCCAGTGGTTTCAGATAGTACAAGAAAATTCATTCTCAGATACACCATCTCACTAAAATATCTTCTGAGACTGTAGCTGATCTTCAAAATAAAGAAGCTGGTCTACCTCAAAGCAGTCACTTGCCCGAGATACCAATTTTCCAAGGTATTCTTTGACTTCATCGTCACTTGCCTTCCTCTCTCTTGCTTGTTGAAGGAATTCATATACTTTTTCAAAAATGTCTGCTCCCAATTTTTGAATGGCTGTCCTGCCAGAAGGAGACAGTTGTAGGAAAGTTAATGAAAATATAAATAGTATATAGAACCCATTTTAATTATAATTGAATATATACAGTAACATTTTGTAGTAGTGGAAGAAAATGGCTCTTAATTTTTTAAAAAAATTGTTTTTGCATTTAAAATAGTGCAGCGCAGTGAAGCCGTTATGGCTATACAATCATAGTATATACACATAATCTCATCCATTAGCTCAGTCTACTTAGTAGACTTCTATCCTTCTACCCAATCACACTATTTATAATTTGTTCCGGTCTTGTCACCTTGTCTTATACCAATAATAAAATCTGTTCCAAACTTCATAATATTCCCACTCCCCTTTATTTTTTAATTCTATGCCTATCTGCTTCCGCACAGGCCAACATTTTTCTAATTATGTCTAACTGGGATGGGATACTTTCTTTTTTCCAATACTGTGCATAGGTTATTCGCACTGCTGTCAATACATGGATAACTAAATAAAGCACATTCTTCTTATACCTCTCTGGTATTATACCTAGGAGGAAAATTTCTGGTTTGAACAGAATTTGATTTCCCACCTTTGTTCCAGCCACAATTGTATCATTCTCCAATATCATTTCGCCTTGTTGCATGTCCACCACATATGGAAAAAGGTGCCTGATAGGTGTTTTTTTTTTGCACTTCTAACAATTTGGAGCTAAATTTTTAAACATTTTTGAGAGCTGTGCTGAGGGAAGGTGCCATCTGTAAAACATCTTATACCAATTTTCTTTATACACCATGGCCATTGTTAATTTCTGTTTGAGTATCTAAAGTCTGAGTCCAAAATGGCTCTTTTTGTTGGAATAACAATGCATGCAACCTGCTACTCAGAAAAGATAGATAGATAGATTCTGACACCCAATATACCATATTTTATTCCAACTTCAGTTGTGGCTAAATTAATTGGGATATAAAATCAAACATGGCTCACCAAAAAGGTAAATGGCAATAATATTTGAAGGAACTTCTTATGGTAAAGTTAGTTTAACCAACGCCATTCAAGGCAATGGATAAACTTTTGATGTTTCAGCAGCAACATTGTTAGTTTCTTTGAGCAGATTTGAAATTGAACATAATCATATATATGTACAGAACAAACAAATGATAGTTAACCACCATGAACATAACTTCCCTTTATATTATTTGGATGTTTATAGATGTATACTATCTCTATAATAATTCTGTGGAAATTTCTATTCTATCTGGCCAAATACTCCATTACTTTTCTGGTCTCATTTGCCACATCATTCCTGGTGGCAAGTTAGAAACTTAGAAAAACAATCTACATTAATCAAGTGCTCCGTAATTGAAGTAATTTTGTTGTATTTAAGTACAATGACAATAAAGATTATACTTAATAGTAATGATACAATTGGTACTGGTACAATTTCAGGCTTATATATTGGCTCCAGAAGTTGCAGGTACTCCAACACTGGAAGTTTTTAAGAAGAGATTAGACAACCATTTGTCTGAAATGGTATAGGATTTCTTGCTTGAGCAGAGGCTTGGACTAGAAGACATCCATGGTTCCTTCCAATTCTGTTATTCTGTTAACCTATGAAAAGGATAACACCAGTGATGGGATTCAAATAATTTAACAACTGGTTCTCTGCCCTAATGACTGGATAGGTGGACATGGCTGGGTGGACGTGGCCAAGGGGCGTGACAGCATTCAGCCTCCTCCAGCACTCTGCCAGTTAAAACAGGACACGGGGTTAATTACAAAATGTGAGCTTTGCTTTGTGACATCCAGATCCAGCAAGCAAGGGGTGTGAATTGCACAGAAAATACACTTTTATTTGATTATGAAGAACTATCCCCGAAGTCAGATGTACACTAAATGTAGACTGACTTTTAATTACACACCTCCCTAGCAAACAGCAAATTTTGAAGCTCCAGGTAAAGAGGATTCATTTTATGATGAGTAACCACAGTTTGCATGTTGGGGGTTCCTAAATGAAGGCTGAGAAAGTCTGTATTTTAAAGAACATTTTAGGGAGGAGTGCAGAATAGCCCTTATCTGCCTGAGGCTGTAGAGACCTGGCACCAATCAAAACACTTTTTGTGAAGCAAGTGATCAACACTGATAGGGTAAGCCACTAGTACGGTATATCAAAATAAGAGCAAACTCCACTCCCTTCTAGTACTGATGATGTTTGGGGATGAAATATTTGCAAGAAAGCCATCAAGCTCAGAGAGCACCAAGGAGCCCACAGTTCAACCCTGAGCTACAAATATTCTCTTCTATTGATAAACACTTTTTGGTTAGAGGGTGTCAGATCCCTAAAAGTGATACTGCCATTCAATTGGGAGGAGGGGAGCCTCGAAGTTAAATCATTAGCTACATCTGAAACAACTGAGTTTTACAACTTTACAATTGGTTTCCTGTCACAAAGGAGACTGAAGATCCCAACATCTCTGGAGGGATGTTTATGATAGCCATGTGGGATATATAACTTTGATGTCTAACTAGAGGTAGCCATGGGAACATGTGCTTTGACTCCCAGGGCAGAAAAGGAAGCATCTTCACACTTGTGTATTGGTCAGAATCTGCATTCAGACAAAGGGGAGGGGTCATTATCAGCTTAATCCCA